GGAAATCGCTAGAGACAGTGGACTTCATTTAATACGGGACTTAGGCATTTTTGAGCTCATTTATTTCATTTTGGGGGCGATTCTTGGAGCTCTTAGAGAGGGGATTTCACCCAACACTTTGAGGTAAGTAATTCCTACACAATGTGAGTTAAATACATAGTTTATAGGTAGATTATAACATGTAAATTAGTGAAAATCATGGGNAATTCCGGTTATGTCTTTTTATTATGAATTATTATGCTTAATATTATAAGGTTATTTTTGTAAACCGACATTGTATTCGTGCTTTTATAATAATATATATATAGATAGATATAGATATAGATATAGATATAGATATAGATAGATAGATATATGATAAGCTTACCAAAGAGGAAGACATACAGTGTCACTCTCTTGGAACTATAATTGAAGATTCTACGTATTTACTGAAAATCAACGAGGCTATTATCAAGCATATTGGAGAAGCGAACTAATAAGCAGATTTTTTGGTAAATAAAGATCACAAACACGACAAAAATTTGATAATCTGGGAGATTGCAGTCAAGAAAATTGAATTTAATAAATCATGTCTATGGAAGATTATAAGAGTTTTATTTAATTAAATTTTCAATGTATCAATAAATATATATAGAGAGAATATTCTCTAGAAGTTGATGACTACAAACTTTTTTTCCTACATGAACTTCTAAATTCATAGAGATCCCAATTTGTTAAACACCGACAGATGACACAACAAGCAAAGACTCTTCGTGCTTTTTCTTTTGGTTTAATTAAGGCCCGTTTGGCCATAAAAAAAGATTCTTTTTTTCGATATTTTTAACTTTTTTTTTTGAATTATTATTTGATTATGAAATTTTCGATTTTTACTGGAAGATGAATCTCGGAATTTTTTGAAAAAGTTTTCACTTCATATCACTCACAAAAATCTATAAACAGTCCAAAATTATCTTTATGTCCAAACACAACTCTAATTTTCAAATACCATTTTCACTTAAGTTTTTTTTTTTTTCATTGTTTTTCAAAATTTTACAATTCTTATAGTCAAAAGCCCACTAAGTTCGAGTCTTTTGAGAGTGGTGCTTTAATATACGCTATATTTTAATTTGTATGATGCTCTTTACGTTTTAAAATACTGGATATAATCTTAATTTTATACAACTTTCAAACATTTACATTCATCAATTAAATTAATCAAATTTTGAACCTGACAATAATATTCTCTCTATTAAATTACTTTTCAGTTACAACTTAATTTTTTTCTTAAGTGACGATTACATACACCTAAAAATAGTGCAAATCAAATAATGTAACATAAAATATAGGGAATGGCCAAATATGTCCCTCTATTTTAGATATTGTTTACATTTAATCTCCGTTATACTATCCAGTCAAATTTACCACTACCATTATGTTATCCGGTCAAATTTACCCTTAGCATCAGCAAACTTTTAAAAATTACCCCTCAGTCTGTTTGGTGGCCCACAATCACCCAAATTATTTTAATTAAGTCACTTATTCTTCTTCTTGTTCCACGAAATAATTGGGTAAAAATAGCATGGTCTAGCCAGTTTTCGGACTGGTCATTCAAAAATAGCCAGACTTTACCAAGTCAATAAAAAATAGTCACTAGTTTGCTGCAACAGAGACCGGTCCAGCATAATATACTAGAGTTCGGTGCACCTGTGTATGAACTTCCAGCATATTATGCTGGAACTCCAACACACGGAAAGTTCCAGCATAATATACTGGAGATTCGAGCACTTGTGTATGAACTTCCAGCATATTATACTGGATCGATATACTTTGCTGGAACTCCAGTATATTATGCTGGAGTTCTAGTATACTTATGCTGGAACTCCATCATATTATGCTGGAGTTCCAGCATACTTATCCTGGAACAGTATAATATGCTGGAGTTCGAGCATACTTATGCTGGAACTCCAGCATAATATACGCGTATTTTCCGGGTCTTGAATAGTGTTTTCGCTCAGATTTATCTTTACATGAAAAGTGGCTAAATTTTGATTACTTTTAAAATTGGGCTATTTTTGGACGACCACTTGTAAATCTGGCTATTTTTTTAATTTCTCGTTAAAATAGCACGGGCTAGCCAGTTTTCGGACTGATCATTCAAAAATAGCCAGCGTTTGCCAAGTCAATAAAAAATAGCCATTATTTTGCTGCAACAGAGACCGATCCAGCATAATATACTGGAGTTCGGTGCACTTGTGTATGAACTTCCAGCTAATTATGCTGGACCGATATACTTTGCTGGCTCCAATATAATATACTGGAGACTGGAGCACCGGTGCTCCAAACTCCAGTATATTATGCTGGACCGGTATATTATACTGGAACTCTAGTATATTAGACTGGAGTTCCAGTATATTATACTGGAACTCCAGTATATTATGCTGGAGTACTTTTCCGGATTTTGAACAGTGTTTTCGTTCAGATTTATCTTTACATAAAAAGCGGCTAAATTTCGATTACTTTTGAAACTATAGCTATTTTTGAATTTCTCCCAAGCATTTACCTGCTTTCTTAATTGAAAGCAAAATAAGAGAAAGAAATATAAAAATAATACAACGGATAGTAAACAAAGTATAGTAAATTGACGATCTAAATTAGGTAGCTTGGCTAAATTCCAAAAGTATTTATAACATTTCAACTTTAATGAATTCGCTGCACCAAATTAAAGGTGTGGAGACTTTGCAACTATTAGTGATAGAAGTTGAAGTTCCTTGGAGACTTTACATTGTCGAATTCAATTTTGCTTCAATAAAATGCCTACGCATTGTGCACTCTTTAATTAGTTGATCGAACTCTATACCAACCAAACAATAACAAAATATATCTGAATATACATAATGATCAGTTGTATATAATATACAATAAACAGACCAAATAAATTATACGTTGTCTATATGTTTGAAAACTAAATAAAATAAACAAATTCCAAACCCACTATCACAAGAAGAGAAGTGGGTAATTAAAAATATTCTTTTTGAAGGATAAGATACTTATATTATATTATAACTTACGACATTGTCTTAGGGACAGTGTCCCAAAGAGCCGCCGTTAATACATAATTGGTTCATACCCCCTAAGGCATTTTCATTATCTAGGGAGGCCAAAATATTACATGCAACTAAACTACAAGTCCGGAAACTATTACAACCATCCTTATCAGCAGAATACACATTTAGAGCAAAATTAGGATGTTCCGCAAAATAGCTAGTAATATTATAGCTAGGATAAAGTAGTGCTTCCTTGGCTAGTTGGTGTGCAACTTTGTTCCCCTCGCGAAAGTTATGCTTCAGTCTGATCTCTCCCATCTCCATTATAGTGGAGCAAGAAGAACAACAAGTGATTTTAAAAAAAAATGGGAGATTTTGGATTACTTAACAGATCAAGCGATAATTTTAATTTTTTTTTATTGATAGTAAGGATAAATTTGGTCGAATAGTATAACGGAGGTTAAATGTAGACAGTATCCGAAAGTAATGGGGTATATCTGGCCCTTTTCCCTAAAGTATAACATAGCAAGACGATTATTTTTGAATGATATTCAAAGTCAATGAAGTTTTTTTAATTATCGTATTTCTTATCAACTCTGCTGTAATTATGATGTTATAACATTTCTTATAAATAAAGATAGAGATAAAATTTGTGCATACACTACTTCATAATAGATTCTCCCGTTTTTACATCTTTTGTCCTCTTTTGTTCACACTATACTATTCAAAAGTAGAAATTTGTGACAAAAAGTGCTCCCTTTGTGTCAATTTAGATGACACATTTTCCTTATTAGTCCGTTCCAAAAAGAATGACATATTTCTACAATTGAAAATAATTTAACTTTAAACTCTTAATTTTATCCATTTTACCCTTAATGAGAAGCTTTTATAACCACACAAATGTCATGGCCCCACAAAGCTTTTAAGTTTTAGGGTAAATTTTAAAAATAGCCAGATTTACAACTGGTCGTTCAAAAATAACCAAATTTCAAAAGTAATCGAAATTTAGCCACTTTTTATATAAAGATAAATCTGAGCGAAAACACTGTTCAAAACCCGGAAAATACTCCAGTATATTATGCTGGAGTTCCAGCATAAGTATACTTGAACTCCAGCATATTATACTGGAGTTCCAGAATAAGTATGCTGGAACTCCAGCATAATATGATGGAGTTCCAGCATAAGTACACTAGAACTCCAGCATAATATACTGGAGTTCCAGCAAGTATATTGGTCCAGTATAATATACTGGAGTTTGGAGCACCGGTGCTCCAGTCTCCAGTATATTATACTGGAGCCAGCAAAGTATACCGGTCCAGCATAATATGCTGGAGTTCATACACAAATGCAGCGAACTCCAGTATATTATGCTGGACCGGTCTCTATTGCAGCAAAATAGTGGCTATTTTTCATTGACTTGGTAAATGCTGCCTATTTTTGATTGAACAGTCCGAAAACTGACTTTACCGTGCTATTTTTACCTACTTTTACCCTTTAAGCTTTTAAGACCCCACGTTTCCAAATTCTTATATTTTTTTACTTAAACTCCGTACAGAATCAAACTACCTCATCTAAATTAAAACAGAGGGAGTAGTAGCTATCATTTTTATCATATTCTGTACTTATAGTAGAAATTTACTTGTAAGTTTTTCTATTAGTGACTCGATTATATAAATTTTTTTAGACTTTTACTACGTAAAATTAGAACTCCTTATTTTAGATGCAAGGAAAAGAAAAAAAATTTAAAAATATATATGTTTAGCTACTTTCAAAATTAATAATCAATAAAATAATTTTTTTGTATAGTATATTATATATATATATATATATATATTTTTTTTTTTTTAATTAGCAAATGCTGGAGTGGCCAATCTTATATTTGTCCCAAATGAGAAAAAAAAAGCCAAAGAAAAAAGATGCTGTTTGCCGGCATAATTGGAATTTGCATGCATTCGAAAAGGCCAAACAAACAAGAATTAGATAAAAAAGAAAGCAATAGGACCCGTACCCCGAGAGGTGAGTGAGTGGACTACCTGTGATTATATCGAGTAACAAAAGGCACTAGAACAAAAAAGCAAAGAACAAAGAAGAAGAAGAAGAAAGAAGAAGAAAAAAATGCCGAGGAGCAGATTTTCAGCATCATTAGCTTCTCCAAAGGTGGATTTGGTTATTGATATGGGCAACCCACTTCTCAACCAAACTGTTGATGCTTTCTTGAAAATTGGCACTGTAATTTTCTCCTCTCTGCTGTTAATTTGGTGATTTTTTACTTCTTTTTTGGATTTTGTAAACATGGGTTGCTTGATTTTTACCGTGTTTTTTTTTTGTTCTTACTTGTTTTAGGTTGCTGTCACCAAAACTGCTGTTGAAGAAACTTATCACATTGTCAAAAAAGGTCGATTCTTAAATTTGATTTCAGTTATCTAGACTGAAGAATCTTTACTAAATCAAATGGGGGAAACTAGACTGCTCTCATTTTTTTTTCCTCTTTTTTTTTTTTTTTTTTTTTTTTTTTTTTACTCAGTTTTATTTTAGATGATGATGTTTGGTTGGACGAAAAAAATTGTGATCTTACAGAGCATTTCATCAAAGTAAAATGAGAAATTTAAAGTCAAATAATTTCCAAATTTAGAAATGTATCGTACATTTTGAAACAGATCTAAAAAGTAAAGAGTATCATTATGTAACTGAAGTGACCAGACTTCTCAATTTCCTAGTAATCGCCCATGTTACAGTACTTGTTTACCGGTGCATACTATCCGCTCGTATATTTTTGTAGGGGTAAGGTGTGCGTACAGCGTACCCTCCTTATACCCCACTTGTAGGATTACATTGGGTTTGTTGTTGTTGCTGTTGTAAACGAAGTTCCCGCAACCATATCACACTAATTATACGGGTAGGTCAAGACAAAAGTAGGATCCACAACATAGCCGTTTCGCCATTTTTTGACTTTTTGCTTCTTTGACTTTTTTCGATGTGATATGTAACCTGAGGAATTCAAAAAAAGAATGGATTGGGGATTGTACTTGATCTCCAAGTTGTAGTGAAGTGTAAATTGAAGTTCTTTAAGTTACCAGCTTCTATATTTATAAAACTATCCATAATTCAGCTTACTATTTCACAATCAACATGGTCTTTGCAGGCAGTGTGTCGAGTCACAACTTTGAGAATTCGGTGAGCATGCCTTAAACTGTACACTATCTCATTTTTATTAATTTGTGTAACTATTCTAGTTGATTGTCTTGGAAGTGTTTATTCAGTTTTGTATAAGAGAAATGTTCTAGAATCAAAATTTGGCTTAACGATGTGATCGTCCTCTTTTAGATTTGTTTGGCCACCTATGAGGTGTGATTTGTGAAGAAGGCTTATTCTGGTCTGAGCACAAGATATTATTGTTGAGATACTAATGGATAGTGACCGATCAAAAACGATACTGATGAATACTGGCTAAAAAAAAGACTTTAGTGGTTACGGATTAAGAAGACTTTCAGAATTATATCTGTTTCTTTTGGTGCTTGGAAATACCAATGAGCAAAATATTTAACAAGCATTAACCAGAACTTCAATGCATATAAAGCCAAATGTCCTGTTTAGCTCAAAATCAGCCTACCACACCTGAAATTATGAAAAAAAGAAGGGCAGCCCGGTGCACGAAGCATCCCATGTTTATGCAGGGCCGCACCCAAAGAGGGTGTGATGTAGGCAGCTACCCTGATGCAAGCACCAGTAGTTGATTTCACGGCTCGAACCCGTAATCTATAGGTCACACAGAGACAACTTTACAGTAGCTCCAAGGCTCCCCTTCTACACCTAAAATTATGCTTTAGTAAAATTTCGTGGTAAGAGCAGCATCTCTCTTATGTTCAGCTCAAAATCTATTTCACTTATGCCACCACAGAACTTAAGTGGCTACTCTGGAGGATTTAGTTATGTTGACCGAAAAAAAAGAAGATTGATCAACATGCTTGTTGTGTTTTAACTGAATTTACCTTTGGTTGCAGTTGAAGAAAATGTGTAAAGAAGGTGCTTATTGGGGTGAGTAATCTGCACCAGTTCCACCCGCATATATTCAAAATGGATGGTTTGAAAAGAGTTTCTTAGTTTCCCAATTTCTTGAATCTTCGAGTGGATTATCTAACAATTCTTGTCTCTTTATTCAGGGACTGTGGCTGGGGTATATGCTGGAATGGAGTATGGAGCAGAGAGGATCCGTGGAACCAGAGATTGGGTAATTTTTTATTTGCATTTTATAAGAATTTGCTCAACTAATTGGACATTGAGGGCCTATACAGCGTTATAATCTCTCTTCGCCCTTCCGTGTGTTTCCTACCTCCTCACCTCAACCGATTGCATCCTCTCCACACTGTCTTTGCTTTTAATTCCGCGAGCATTCAGTTTCTGTTTCATCAACCGACGCATAGTACCAGGTTTTCCCCATGGTGGCCACTCTTTTTGTTTTGATGAATCAAAAGAGTTCCTTTAAACTACACCAAGATTATGTGTTACTTACAAAAGTACAACAAGAACATACCCAGTGTAATCCCACAAGTGGGGTCTAGGGAGGGTAGTGTGTACGCAGTTCTTATCCCTACCTTGTGAAGGTAGGCAGGCTGTCTCCTTACAGAAGTGCATGTAAAATATACATCAAACATTTCAAAAATCTAGTCAATTGCCCGTACAAGTTGGTATTTATATTTTACACCAAAAGTACAAAGAAATAGAAGAGAACCCTTGACCCTGAACGACAAACCCTCTGGCGCTTCAAAGTTCTCCTGCTTCTTCCCTCCACAAAAGCCCAAAAATACTGAAAGGGAGCCTCTTCCATAGCTTCTTTCCTCGAACCATTTTACTCAGTCTGTCTCTACAGTTGTCTTACGGAGAACCCACTTAATGTTGACTGCCAAATGTTGCAAATATCAAGGAACGCAGTTTCAATGTAAAATCATAAGGTAGTAAAGAACAATACTCATCCTCCCCATGCTTTTACCACGCGCAACACTGCCCTCAAAATACGAGTGAGGAAATGCACTTTCTTCAGTGCGCTGCATCTCCATAGAGATTTCACCATTGGATTAGGGGTCTTCTCCCACTTAATAAACAACTGTAATAAGATTATATTAGAAATGTGTTTCGAGAAGGAACCTTTCATTATGATAGACTCTGCGTCTCCAAACTGTGTATGGCTATATAGTCTCAGCAGGAATGCATCCACCTCGTCGTCTCCGATTCCGAATCCTGTTGAAGTCATCTGAAGTTATATCCCATGACCTCTGTTTTCCATCCTGCCTTAGAACCTTAGCTATTACAATCCTCTTATCATTAGCTTATGAGAACGAGCTAGGGATGTAATCTTCCAGGGTATCACATACTATTAAGCCAAGATCGGATTCTATTCCCATTTCGGACAAAAACACATTGTACTCGGGAAAGTCCACTTTCCTATCATGATCCGTTTTCACCCGCTCGTCCTGTTGTGGGACAACACCTCCTTTATGAACCAAGGTTAACTATTATAACCATGTTTCACCGAAATAACCTTCATCCGGATGGTGTACTGGTGTACTGGGGAGAGATGATTAGGCAGGACATGTCATTGCTTCAGCTTATCGAGGACATGACCCTCGATAGGAAGATGTGGAGGTAGTCGTGAGTTTCTCCTAGTCTTATCAGTAGTAGTAGTACTATTCTTATATTTTCTTATTCCTGGTTCTTTATTATTACGTGTCGTGTCATTCGCTTCCCCTATTACCTTGTTATTGCTATTGTTTGTTCCTTTATTTTCACTGTTCGTTGAGCCGATGGTCTATCAGAAACAGTCTCTCTACGTTCATAATATAGGGGTAAGGTCTGCGTACATATTACCCTCCCTAGACCCCACTTGTGAGATTATACTGGGTTTTTTCTTTTTGTAGTTATCCTTCATCCGGATGGTCCGCTTTTTTATTGCAAATTTCCATAGCCATTTTCTGAACAATGCTCGATTAAAGATTTCCAATCTCTGAGATGTGCTATCCCCCAACTGCAACCAGTGGTAGATTGTGAATGCTCAGTCTCCCATTTACCAGTGGAAGCCAACATTAGTGAGGTTACTGCACTGAATACCGGTTTTACGATGAAGACTAGCAATTTATATTTGCATCTGGAATTGGGATTTTAGTTAAGTTAAAGCTCCTTGAATCGAACTTTATGTAGGTTACATGTAAAGAAACTTCCTGTTGCATCTTGTGTGATAAACCCAGCTTTATGGTTCTAAAAAGGAAGGTAATTTAGGCGATGTAGCATCAGTATATGGGGTTTTACTCTGGTTATGAGTGAAAACATTGCAGCAAAATCTTTAATATGATTATCACGATTCACGATAGTAACTACTAATTAAACAAAGGTAAAGAGAAATTGCAATGGTTTTTGTTAAGAGAATTTAATCGTGACTTGTATTCCCCTCAAGGATCCTAATGAAAGAGGATTGAAATATTGAATGTTCTCTTCTGGAACAAGAGTCTATCCTTTGATTTTTCTTCACTCTGTTTGCAGAAGAATGCAATGATTGGGGGTGCATTGACTGGGGCTCTCATATCTGCTGCAAGCAACAACAATCGCGACAAGATTGTGATGGATGCCATTACAGGAGGTGCTGTTGCAACTGCTGCTGAGTTCCTTAATTATCTCACATGAATTCTTAGCAGCTACTAAGAACATTGCTAAGCATTTGCTCTATTTCTAGAATTGTATCCATTTGAAAGTACAAGCTTATGACAGATGAAACTTAGACTATTTGACTATGTTTAAGTGAATCTATAAATTAGCCATCTTTTTCAATCATTTGCTTTAAAAATCAAGTTGTCTATCAAGATGAATCAATTCATGTTTATATCAAATCAAACAACTTAATCAGAAGAGTTATAAATTGAAGTGTGGATACATATTACTTAACCATGGTTAAGTCACTAAGTGTTTATATAAGAAATATGGTTTACATTCATTTGCTTGTTATAAATATCAGGATCAACATGTTTTTTTTTCACATGAAAATGACACCATATAATCTATGCGTTACTGTGATTGACTTATAATGGAAGAGTAATGGATTACTACTTAATTATATAATTTACTATAGTATAACAATCTTCAGAAGATTATTCATCGCATAAATAATTCCTAAAACTGTAAATATTGGATTTACCAAATGTTTGAAACTAGAAGGAGAAAAATGATTATAGATGAGATAATAATGTGGCTAGAGGAGTACCTTTATACAACGACAGAGGGAAGTGCTAGTGAGAAATGGCTGTTAGAATTTGATAAAGTAAAACAATTTAAACTCAAAGAAAGAAAATAAAAGAATATGGCAAGAATGAGTAAGTGGCAAAAAGGAGGAGTGGAGTATTGACGAAAAGGTGGAGCTTAAAAAGTAATGAAGGAAAAACAGAAATGAGAAATTACATAACAATCTCACCATATTTGGTTGTTCGAATGACAATTTATCTAAAAATGCAAACAATAAATTATATTATGATTTAATCAATAATTTTATAAAATATTATACTTAAAGTAAAAGCAATCCGAAGTCCAAATAACTTGTAGCTTGTACATATTCGTATGGCAGAATACCTTAAAACCCCCTAAACTTGGTAAAAATTATTGGTTACACCTAGTGATAGGGCTGTGCATAATTTGGTAAATACCGAATTACCGTACCGAAACCGAAAATTTTGGTATTTGGTATACGGTATTTTGTTATTTGGTATGGTATTCAGTTTAAGTTTTTCAAAAAAATGGTATTAGGTATGGTATTTGGTATTTTAAAATAAAAAACCGAAATACCGATACCGTACCGAAATATATATTATATTACACAAAACATATATTATCAATTATAATACAAATATAAAAAATCTAAAATTTACTTTCCTTTATTCTCTAAGTTCATCAATTAACTCTAAACAAGTAACAAGACATTTCTAGTGATCAAATATTCATTTATGTACAATTTTCTCTATTTGGATCGATATTTGTTAGTTTTGGACAAAAATTTTGTCAACAAACATTTTCACTTTTGTATTTTTGAGTACTTTAATAAAGAATACTATAGTCTATGGCTCTATGCACTAGTTAGGTATTCAAACCGAATAAACCGAAGTTACCGAACCGAATAAACCGAAACCGAAAGGAGAAAAATCGAACCATTCCGAATTTAATTAGGTACGATATTGGTGTAGGATTTTAAGAAACCGAATACCGAAAATACCGAACCGAAATGTCTAAATACCGTACCGTACCGACCGACCGACGAACATCCCTACCTAGTGGTAGCAAAATAAATAAAGGGACTTTTACCTTCCTATACCATATATGAAACCTTATTACAAAAAATGTGTATAGTTTCATATTTACCCGCCATGTTCACAGTTATTCTACAAATATTATCCCATTCATTAAATACCAATTATTAGGAGCTGATTCCTTCCTAATTAGGTGCGCTACAAATCTGGAACTAAATATTCTTCCAGATATTCCTATTTAAGCGCGTTACAATCATGCAAGTAAATATTCTTCCAGATATTTCATTAAATAAGGAATCATGTAGCATTAAAATTCCTTATTTAGATTGTTCCTATTTTCACCTAATCTTTCTGCTTATAGTCTCACTTAAACTTGTAGCTGAAAATATCGTTATATTTTTTTTTCCATGAAAAATAATAAGTTGACAAATCTAATAGTTGATGTCACTAGGTAGTATTTTTCAAACTCGACAAAGTAGTTGATGTAGCTTTCTAATATGTTTCCCTCAATCTATAATTGAGAATACTATAATGAATCTTTAAGATTATGTCTAGTCGAAAATCCCAATTAAACTACAATCGAATGGGAATTGGGATATTAAAATTCAATATACCCAATTTGTAGATATTTTGTAGATGAATTGTAGATTATTTGTATTATGATTGTAGATGTATTGTTTTCTGTTTTCACAAATCCAAAACGACTAAAACTTCTACAAAATCTTCTGCAAAAAATGCAATTATGTCGAAAATACCAATTAAGCTACAGTTAAATGGGAATTGGGATATTAAAATTCAATGTACCCAGTTTGTAGATATTTTGTAGATAAATTGTAGATTATTTGTATTCTGATTGTAGATGCTTTGTTTCCTGTTTTCACAAATCAAAAAACGACTAAAACTTCTACAAATCTTCTGCAAAAAATGCAATTATGTCGAAAATCCCAATTATGCTACAACTGAAATGGGAGTTGGGATATTAAAATTCAATGTACCCAGTTTGTAGATATTTTGTAGATAAATTATAGATTATTTGTATTCTGATTGTAGATGCTTTGTTTTCTGTTTTCACAAATCCAAAACGACTAAAACTTCTACAAAATCTTCTGCAAAAAATGCAATTATGTCGAAAATACCAATTAAGATACAATTGAATGAGAATTGGGATATTAAAATTTAACGTACCTAGTTTGTAGATATTTTGTAGATAAATTGTAGATTATTTGTATTCTGATTGTAGATGCTTTGTTTTCTGTTTTCACAAATCAAAAACGACTAAAACTTCTACAAATCTTCTGCAAAAAATGCAATTATGTACCAATTAAGCTACAATTGGATGAGAAATTGTACCAATGTCAAAAATACCAATTAAGCTACAAGCTACAATCGAACCTCAATCCCACGCACTAGCAGGTTAGATTTATGCTTTTGTGTCAACAGGCAGAATATATTTGAATGCTAGCGGCAGGTGAATGCATGTTAAAGCTCAATGTAGAGTAACAGAAAATTCAAATCAGGTGCTGATTGAAGTTAAAACACGAGCTTCTTTGTCTTTATTTTTTTGGGAAATAAAGTATTGGTAATTGACTGCAGTTCACAAGATTTTCAATAACAATGAGTGTAACCAGGAACTTGAATGATTGCTGCTCCTAATTGCAATGTAAGATTTAAGTGTTTCTACATCAATATGCTGCAAATCTATGTTTCCATAATCATAGGTTTTTATGTTTAATAACAGTACATAAACGTGAGTGACAGTGAGGGTTTGGGAGAGAGAAACGTGGGAGGGGTGGGATATACGGTACCTTGAATTAAGGAGGGATATACGTTGCATTAATTGTACCCTTAAAATACACTATGGTATAGAATTGGTAATTTGGTATACTAAATGTAATTATATCAAACCTTAAACATTGAGGGTAATAAGGTTTCCTATATGGTATAGGAATGTAAAAATCTCATAAATAAAACAGTTATCTATCCATATTATCTATTAAAAAGAGAATTTTACTTATTTATACTGCTTTTGGAATTTATTTTCCCTCACTATTGAAATTTTGACTTAATTACAAGTTGATATACATTTACCAATTATATACAAATTAGTATTAAATGAATATCCCTTTATACTAATTGAATAGGGATACAAAGAAAACTTCGGCGGAAGCTCCTTCGCACCTGCACCTGCACACATGTGCTCGATAGTCCGCTCATGTGGACCCAGCTCTTCCAGCCCAACACCCCCTCTCCCGTTCAAACATATCAAACTTCCAAGCCTTTAATTTTCCAACTTTCGACAATTCAAGCCAAAATGACCTAGGAACCTCCAAATACAAATTCGGACATGAGCCTAGGTCCAAAATCACCATACGAACCTATTGGAACCATCAAACTATTATTCCAGAGTTGTCTACACAAAAGTCAAACTCTGGTCAACTCTTACAACTCAAACCTCTAACCAAGGGACTAAGTGTCCCAATTCAATCCAAAACTTTTCCGAAACCAAACCAACCACCCGAGAAAGTCACGTAATCACAATTACACATATGAAAAGCATCAAATAGGAGACACGAGGCTAAAATACTCAAAATGACCATCTGGGTCGTTACAACTATAGAGTTTTAACTTAATAATTTTCTTTTATGTTGCACAATTGGTGTTCGAAATGAAATTATCAATCAATAAATTTTGAAGATGTTTGACTCTCCACCATTGACAACCATCAAAAAGCTTCGAAGCTTTTAATTCGAATTCAAATTTTCAAAAAATATTATTTGTTTGGATTGGGTGTTATTGCAAACGATTGAGAATATTATTTGAAGTTTATATCTCAATTTTGAGGGTGTTTGGTAAAGATTAGAGTTGATTTTGGCTGCATTTTAGATTGAAACTCGACGAAGAAGAAGTACATATGACATACTAATTGTATGAAAATTGTATTATAGTTATATGTAAATTATATTTAAGTTGTATTATGTTGTAGTTATAAATTTTTTTATTTGAATATTGTATCAAAGTTAAAAATTAGTTGTATATTGTATGAATCGTTGTATAAAATTTATATTTAAGTTAAAATACTATCTTTTACATAAAGTTGCTAATATATATCAAAATTGTATTAAGAGATGAAGTTTTGATTGAAATTTCAGATAGGAAGAAGAACACACCACATATAAAATATATATAAAATACATAAAAAAAGACATGTTGTATAAAATTTATATGAAAATTATATTTAAGTTGTATGATGTTGTAGTTGTATTTCACTAGGTAAAAATGATGTATAAAATTTATAGATAATTTATTTTAGTTTGTGTGTTGTTGTAGAGGTATTAAATTTGTACGAAGTTTATTATTAATTTGTATGTTGATGTACTTGAAAAAACTTGAATATTGATGAGAATTGAATGGTTCAATTGGAGAAATTTCGAGTTTCCATTAAAAGCGTCATTGTCAAGATTCTATTGTTGCTGTTGGTGGTGCTACATCGATGGAGGTGGGGACGTTGAACATTTTATTAAAATTCCAATAGGCAGCACT